CAAGTGGTCTCTTGAAAGCGATGTCTTACCAGAATGTCACACAAAAACAACCGCCAGGAGTGTCAGAGTCCCTACTCAAGTAAGTGTTTGAGACCCAGCAGGGTCCAATGAAAGTGCACAACAAGAGTGCACACCAAAGGTATCTAAACAAAATTGATGTACAAAACTTCATAGTGTTCAGAACTGCCAGTAGAAACACATGATGTTGGCGCAGTGCCGTGATCCATCGTAAACGCAGGGCTGGCAGACTGGAAGTGGCCTTGAGCAACCCGTGATTTTTTTAATAGTGTTTCACCATATAGGAGCGACTATTTTTTTTGCAACCACCGTCCACAATGAGCGCTCAAGACTTGCTATCTCAACTTCAGTTCAGCCTTGAACACAAAGCCACTTCCAGCTTCGATCTACAATCAGCAAGGATGGGTGCACTCAACGCTAGCGCTCACCATGTGTTCTCCTGCCAGACTCCAGAAGCTGGCTGCCACAGACGGCTGGTCAGCCAAGTTCAAAGCAGTCCTCCACGTAGGATTCAGCGTCATAGTCGACACTCCTGGCCCAAAAACTTTTGCTTGAAAGCATCAACAACGCTGTATAGTCTTGCACCCCTGTCTTGGCCTGACTGACCCACCGTGGAGATGGTTCCTTGGCCGCATTCAGCTCTGGAACTCTGGCCAAAAACGGCCACAGAGCAGAATTTCGAACTACTCATCACTGCAAAGGACCACGTGGAAGGGCAACGCACACACTCTGGGCGGCGGGCCCACCCAAACCAGGCATACATTGTACTGTTCAATGGGCCTTGATGAGCCAAGTTCAACGCTTCAAGGCCAACCAAAACATACAACAAGGAGATCTTGACCAGCCTCCGTTGCATTCACCACCATCAACGCTGCCGGCCGCAGTTGCGCAGCTACGAGTAGTCGGTTGATTTCCCAAAATATGAGGACTTCAATGGTACATTCTTTGGTCCTTATGAACGCGCATGTTTAACGATCAATGGGGAAGTGAGGTCTGTGAGCTGCCTCCAACTGAACCGCTAGAGATCTGACACGCATAACATCAAAGACTTTCAAGTATGCCACCCAAACTCGATACACAGAGACATATCCAAAGCAAAGAATGCGGAAATAGGGGTCCATTTTCAGCGCAGAGCTTCTGGTCAGCCACCGGTTAATCTACATCCAGGACAGTCGGGTCATGCTCCTTGGCTTCCTCCTCCTCAAATTCCTGCTGGTCGTCTCCATTGAAATCAACCTCCAGCGGGAGCTCCATAGGTTCTGTCTCGACAGGTACTACTTCAGGCAATTCTGTCGGCTCTACAACTTCAGGACCAGCGCCAGCATCCTCCGGGTCATAGCCAAGTCCAGCTCCTCTAGGTTTTTAGGCGACGCAGCACAACACAATGCTGACAATGACCACGTACACAAATTGACCGGAAAAACTGCTTCAGTTAAATTAATACTGCCCAAACCCACGCTTCGGTTTCCTGCGCTGTACTCAAGTGTGCTCTTCAGTTTCGCCTCAGAACATTGTTCATATCTGCAAAACATAAGACGCCACAGGTTAGAACAAATGAAAAGAGCCGGCACTTAGGTGGGAACGACGATGTTCTGCACATCTACGCACTTGTCTCCCCTCACCAAGTGAGCGTGGCCAATTTCCTGCAAAGGAAACAGCTTATCAAAAAAACACACAAGAGCAAGCAAGGCCCAAACACAAATCTCTTTCGACTTGTGCCAGTCATAGTGCTTTCCTCCCGCCTGCAAAAGAAACTAAATTCCAAATTGCTCAGCTGCCGAATGCGGTAAGGTCCCAGGCAAGAAAATTAAACAAGCCGACTGGCCTTGATCATCTCCCAGCCATTCACCTTCACACCGAACACACCAGATTTCTTGTAATAATAGACCTTGCTGATCCTTCTGTCAGCATCATCGACGCCGACACCTGTGCCAAAAAGTGAACTGAAAACAAAACTGTTTTCACTGTTCGTTGTAGATCATTGTTTGGGCCTACAAACGAACCTAGCCTTCAGCGGCCTTTGCCTTCCGCTTCGGCTTGGCTTTGGGCTTGGCATTAGGTGCCTCTACGATACCAATGGTCGCATCTTCACCCCCTGACGCCGTCGACTTGGCTGCCTCCTTCCCTTTAGCCTTTCCTTTCGCCTTCGCTTTTGCACCTGCCTTCGCCTTTCCTTTCGCCTTTCCTTTCGCCTTTCCTTTCGCCTGTCCTTTCGCCTTCGCCTTTGGGCTGACCTTTGGCTGAGGAGCTTCTGGCTCAGCGGTTCCAGACTCAGTCCCTGGTTCAGGGGCGGTGGCCTCACTCTCATGGGCTGGCCTCTTCAACGGGTTACGTAAAGCTGAAGGTCTTTTCATGACCTTTTTGGCGACCTCAGCTTCCTCGGGCTCCTCACGCTCCTCGACCACCATGCTCTTCGGCTGTGGAGCCACCTGTCGCCCCGTCAATCCAAATTTAAAATATAAAATATCACATCAACACCATCCCCGAACACTGACAAGCAGCCCCTAAGCAAGAAAGAACCGATGCCACGGCGCCTCCTCCTCTGACGCCGTCAGGTCAGCTACAGGTGGTAAAATTCCCATATGCGTTCTGTCTGACCTAATAGCAAGCTAGTTGGACTGCTGCGCTCTTGTTGAGCCTGATGGTTATGAACAACATGCATTGCATCGAACTATAGACGAGAAAATGATGAGAACCCGGCGCTGGCCCATTCAAGTCAAAAAACAAACACCTTTTTTTAAAGTTAGGGGTGGAAATAGTTAGAGTACGGCACCTATGGCGCAATCATCCTGACACGTGTGTTTGCTGCCACTCTCTAAGGACATAGAACTGCCAGCTCATTCGCAACACAGCACGAACGCCGTGTCAAATCTCAATTTGGCTTGCTTCTAGGACCGCCTCCTACTTTTCCCATAAAAATTGAACCAATGTGAATGAAGCCGACAACAAAAGCATTTGCAGGAGGAAGGGCGGTCGTGGCAAGCCACAGGCTCAAGATTGAAAAATCACCAGCCTACAAAATGTCAAGATAACTTGACCCAGGACTGGGGAGGAATGACAACAGTCGCGGTCAAGAACAGCTTCGGCTTCGTCGCCAGGAATTTTGCTTGTCCGGTCCCAGTCTGGGTTTGGACCTGGCCGCCAGCAGGGCTAGCTTGAATCAAAACATCCAGTGAACAAAGTTGGAAGCCACGTGCCTCCCAAACTACGTTGGCGATCTTGTTGCGGGGCAACTTGTTGAACTTTCCGCAGTACACGGCGCCGAAATTGGCATGCCTGCTGTTTGTCAAAATACAAAAAATATTCAATGCAAATGCCGCAGCAGTCTGCCAACACTTCATTTCTAAGAGCCCCAACGCCTCAAGACTGCATCGTCGGATAGAGCTGCCGGTTTGAAACAATTGGTCTTGCCGCTGGGAGTGGGCGAGACAACATACCGATACGGTACAGTAATGGGTTGCGCACCTTCTTCAACCTCAGGTCTTGCCACAAAACAAGTTGCAATCGAAAAGTCCGGTAGTTTCTACTGGCAATACTACTTGGGAACACAGTATCTCTATTTGTGCAGTGTGCGTCATAAACCGAATCGAATGACAGGCGGAAGCTGCTTTGCAGAAAGCATGTGATCACGAAGCTCAAAGTCTGCAAGGCCATGTATGGTCACTTGCTGGTGAATGAAGTCGGCCAAGCTCAAGAGCTTCCGCTCGGTGCTGATGACCAGCGAAAGATCATCTGCCAAACGCCACGGCAAACAGTTGGTTTCTGCCTCGCCAGTTCCAGCAACAATCCGCTCCTCGAAAGAACCAACGTTGAAGCCACACAATTCGCAACCACTCAAGGTCAGATTGTCTCCCTCCGATGGGTTTCCAATGAACAGGTCCATAGACGTTGTCACGAACAACGACGGGCGCCCTTTGGAGCCTTCAACCCACGCCAACCTGGCACCAATCTCAAGGAGGAAAGCAAAAGGAATCTACAAGAAATATATAAGCATATATATATATATATCTATCTTATTGCACAACAAGACACAGCCCCACTCACCTACAAAACACAATTCCGGGCCTTGTATGATGGAAATCAGACGCGCGGATGATTGGAGGGTCAACATCTCGGGTGAAATCAACAGGACGCATCCCCCCTTCAATGGAATAGTCCGGTCGCCCCCCCGCTCGTGGAACAGCAAGCGGTCCGCTTCCAGCGACAGCTGAAGTGCTGGCTGCATCAGGATAGAGGGCCACAACCTCGTCTTTGAACGCTTTCAGCTCTTGGTACTGCGCTGTGCCAGCCACAAACCTGTCAAACAAGCTGTCCGGGAATCGGCATACTCCGTTCGACCAAGACAGAACATCCAAGGAAGGGGCAGGCAATTCCTCATGCTCCCTTCGTTTCGGCGGAGCGTCACCACTTGAATCCCAAAGGTCATAGACCTGTTGCTCAATCATAGTAGTTGCATCTTGGCCATCCTTGTCAAACAGCAGCCCACAATACTTCACGACAGGCTTTCGGACCTTGTCGACAAGAAGGCGCTGCACCACAGCCCGCCCCATTTCACAATACCTCACAATCAATATGATGGGCGCTTCAAAACCCAATTACAGTTACACCGCCAAACCGTGAATCACCCACCTAGCAAATTAACTGCTGCCATAAACTGTGCCATTGACTGCCACCACGTGACTTGTTTGGCACCACATCCAGGACCACAACCCTGTCATGCTCCAGCACATCTACATCTTGCAGAATCTGCTTCAGGATCTCATTGAAAGCTGGCACACCCTTCCTCAGAAACACCCAATAAAAGAAGAATTCAATTCCCAAAAACTGGAAATGACCACGTCGTCCAACAACTAAAAATAAAAACATACAACTATGAAAATTGTATATATACAGAGAGAAAGATATATTATTTGTTTGTGCGTGGCAGGCATCTGTTCGGTTCGAGCTCCAGGGGTTGGGCGAACGTCGCTGTCATAGCCGATCATGTCCGAAATCTTGATCAAGGGCACAGGCCCCAGTGTCTGGGAAACCCATGCGCTGGAAGCGGTCCAAACATTCTCGCTCTGCGTGTTGGCTGTGGTGAGGAAAAGGGCTTGCTGCGCAAGCTTGCGTTTGTCGTTCCCTGCAGAGTTTGGCTTGCTGTACGTGACCGAGGTGTTAGTCAAAATGTCCAGCCCACCGCTGGCCAGCCCATCCTCCAGCGAACGACGGTGCTTCAGCAACGCTTGCCAATTGATAGCTTGGTGGCTCAAAGGCAGAAGAGCAAAGCCAGCATTGGTAGGACCGAGGTTGACAATGCTCTTGACAACTTGGAGAGCGCTCTGCAAGTACGTGGCGTTTGATGGCCATACCGTGCAGTCAACCATAGTCAAAACCAGCCTCATTTTTGTTTGGTTGCAAAATGGTTTATAGAAACTCTGGCAGTTTTTTGGATGGCAGGTTGACAGGCGAACGCGCGCAATGAATCACACGAAGACTGCCGAGGAACGTTCGGCCATCAGAAGCGCCAGACACCCTGCTAAGGAAACGTCCAATTTCGGGCATTGCAGAATTCATGCTCTGGTCGACTGGGATCAGCTTGCAATGAGTTTCCAACCAATCGCGGGTCCACTGTTGCCCGTTCCTGGCCAACACATCCACAACAAACCATTGACACACAGAAGGCCGCAACAACAGAACACCAATCAATGACCAACAAAAAGCAAAACTTAAGATTGGTCAGGACTGAGTTTCTGCTGCCTGTCCCTCAAGTAAGCCTGGTCCTTCAACGCTTCGTGCGCTTCGTGCTCTGGGGTTGAAACGCGCGCACGTAGCACCTCCAGGTCCTTGTTCAGCTTCACCTTCAAGTGCTCCAATGTGGCCTCCGCAACGCGGGCCGCTGCCTCAGCCTCCTTGGCTTCTACCTCCTTTTGCGTCCGCGCTTCGAATGCCACAACAACATTCCTGGCTTGAATCCAGAGCGCACAAAGCCATCGGTATCTATTCTGAATCACGACAAACACCTGACACACATAAAAGCTCAGACTGAAACAAACAGGGCGCTTCAAGAAAGAAATGTCGCGGAGCTCCACTGGCGGCACTGTGGTTTGCAGCAAGTGATCAATCTCCGGGTCACTGAATCCAGTCATAAATTGCGAGAGGATGGCATCCTTGCAATCATCAAAATCACTCCTTGCAACCTGACTCTCCAGTTCTCCCATCACGTGCAAGAAGAAGCCGCACGCTCCATGCAAGGATTGCGCGTCTTTCAAACTCCACGTTTTCCGCAGTTCCACTGGCTGCCTGTCCCAGTCGCCTGTAAGACGTTGCAAGAATAGTTTGACCTTGGAAAAAAGAAGAGTGCGGGCCATCCAAACACATAACAGGGATGTTACTGTTGCTCTGAACAAAGGTAGACAAATGATGAAAAATTGTTGTCTGACAGTTTCTCCAAGGGTCCAGCGCATCATCTGACCCATTTGTCAATTGCTCGTTCCAGGCGTCCCAGCAGCCTGTACCAGAGCTGAAGCCCCGGTTGAACAAGTTCTTCGCCAGGATCTCATGGGAGAGCCAGCGTCTCATTCCACGCGGCCGCACTTCAGCTCGCAGCGCGGCGGTAACCTCCGGGGAGATTCGCTCCTGCAAGTTGGAGACAGCAAGGGCCTCCTTCTCTCCAATCGAGAACGCTCGCATTATGAGTGATGCGTTGTGCCACTCCTGGGGCAGCTCAAGAGCTTGCTCATTGGGTGGGAGTAACTAGTAACTACAACTAGCAGCACCTTACAGTGGCCTCCACCTCGACTGACAGTGACTTCATAAGCACGAACCAGTAGCGAGAACTTCTGATACTGATACCTGAATTCATCCCAAAAACACCCGTCTAATCAAAAAGTGGGACGCGTCGAAGATGGGACCAGAATGTCTTTGGGCCAAGCAACCACAAAGTCCGGCTGGGATCCAGATCGCTCGATGATCTCCAGTTGGCGCAGGAAGTTGAAGCAGTTCGGTGCCTTGCGTGTGCTCGTGCTCCCCATTGTGATTCCTGCGCTCGCCAGGTTGCGTAGACATGAATAGTCTCCACATTCTTTGCGACGGGCTCTGTTAAACTAACGCCGTCCGTCCTCGGTTGGTGAAGACCTTTTCCTTTGCGCTGGAGAAGCGCAAAGCGGACACATAAACTGTGGACGCAGAGTCCTGCCACGCGGCAACACGTATGCACAAAAATGGCTGCGTTCAACAAACATGAACACCATCTGATTTTTCGTGGGATTCATTGGCCCAGCCTTGAAGCTTGTTGTCAGATCATCCAAACTTACACTCAAGCACCTCACTGCCTCCAAGCAAATGAGAAAACAAATGGATCGCCGCCAGCCCTTGATGTAGGCCAGACTGAAAGGGCCCAGTAGATCACCTGACAGAACGTCAAAGGCTTTGCCACATGGTTCAGGGTTGCGTCTTGAAAAAACCTACTCAGCGCACACCATGAAAAATTGCAGCAGCAAAACACTATAAAAGACTCCATTAGTTCCTCGCAACTACAGTCAATCTTGTCATCAGGGTTTTCGCAAACAGAAACAAACATTCGAGCGCAGCACCATCCAAGAGCGGCAAGCAATCATACGGGTCGTCCAAGAATTCACAGTCCGGCTTGCGCACTGCTAGCCGTTCAGTCCCCGGCAACGCACTGTTGGTCCTAAACCTAGGCGGCGCAATCGCAAGCTGCAAAAAGGGAGACGACACTGGCGAAAATGTCCTGATCTGAGCAAACCACCCCTCCATGAGGATAAGCTCTACCAGATTCAACGCTTCTTCTGGCTCGGCATAGCCAGCGATACCGAAGTCCGTCCTGTGGCCATGTCAAAAAAGGCCCACAAACACTAGTGAACGGCGCTCTGTCCTGAAAGAGAGGTTCCATGGTCTGACGCAAAATTCCCCACCCAGTAGTTCACCGCAATAATGAATCCTGCAAGGCTTGCAACCCGCACCTTGCAAGAAATCTAGACTCCTATACTAAGCCCATCTCTTGCCTTGGGTCAGGAGGAAAAGTTCCGTCGATCCATTTTGCGAAGCCCATCAACTCGTCCTGTCAATGAATTTGGAACCAGGCGACCTGTCTGAAATTGTTGGCAGGCAGAAGAGTTCCTTTTTGAATGCGTGAAATAAACACTCAGCAAACAGAGTCCTGGGACGTATATTTCTTCATGAGAAACCGATCCGGCCCACCCGCCGGAATAACGTTGTCCCGAAACCTGACTTTAGTTTGATCAGTCGCTGCTTGAGTTGGGCTGACTGACTCACTCGCACCGTCACAAAATAAGTCGGGCACCAAGACATGATCTTGGAGACATGTTCCGGGCGACAATAAGTCCTTAGGTCCTTGGAGGGCCCCCCCCCCTCCACTTCCAGACTTTCGCTTTCTAGGCAGTGTTTTGGGCAACATCTCAAGACAAGGACACTTGATTGAGACAAACAGCTGCGGAGAGGTACACACAACTATGACCCACGCGCTCAAAGTGTACATCAACTGTTTGAAGACATAACAGCCGGCTGGTGAATTGTCGTCGCTTTTCTACTTCCATGACTGCGCTCCTAGAAGCCGTCGGTGGGCAGAAACACCCACCTAAGATTCTGGCTAGCTTGCAAGCTAGCCTATCGCTCATAGCGATGAACCTCCGCAAACACCTTTTCAGCTTGGAAAACGCACTTGTACAAGTTCTCACCCATGTTCCCGTTCCACATCCAGTCACCCAGAGTCGCGCGACACATCCCGCACTCAAGCTGCAAAAGTTCTTGTTGTTGGATGGAAATCTGTTTCAAAGTGTCCAGACCCTGGGAGGTGTCATAACACGGCTCGCGAACGCCCAAGTCTTGCAGGCCCATAGCCTGCACATCCCCCCACTTAGAGGGGTCTCTGGATAGGACTCTGCCTTGCAGCAGCTGAATGGCGAGGTTTTGCACTGGGACGAAGTGCGCCTGAATTCCAAAGATGTTCAGGATCTTCACAGCTGTTTCCCTCACATTCTCTGCATGGTCGGGGTTTTTGC